ACCTTTAAGCTAATTAAATAGCCATTTCACGGTGATATTTACAAGGAGAATCCTGACCTTTTAAAACCACCAGACCAAATAGAAGATTGCATACAAAATGGTAACATTCAGGAAGGAAGAGAGAGAGGGAGAGATGGAAGAATTTGTCTGAATGCTGATTGATTTCCCACTGATGGCTTTTTGGGCTTTGATTTCCCAAAAAAAAAAAAAAAAAAAAAACAAGCTAACAAAGTAAAACATGATGAATTATCTCCCATTTTTAATATGCTTATATTTATATTTGATATTTGATATTCATATTTATTGACATACTTTTTGTTTTCTACTTTGTCCATTTCAGAATTTTGTTGCTGTAAATTGGGAATTTCTCCGTTGTGAGACAAATAAAATTTTTCTTATTCTGTCTTATTATTATTATTATTATTATTATTATGGCAGATGTGCGCACGTTGCTCGGAGTTTCACCCATCACCCGCATAATAAGATTCGGTCTTTTGCCTTCGGTGTGGCTAAATTCTTTCTTGGAGCAATTTGCATACAGTCGCCTGATGGTGAGCTGCGACGCCATTCCATTTGACTATAAATGAATTCACCTCATGGTTCATAATACTGCCCCTTAATTCTGCCTGCCTCAGCTGAAATCATATCATATCTGAGGACCAGCGTTCATTAGTCATGGGAACAGCTCCTGAGTATCAAGCCGAGTTTTACACAATTAAAAAAGAAAAGAAAAAAAAGTAGTATGCTCTGAGCTGTAATTGAAGTTTTCTTTATTTGGACTCCCTATTCACACATAGCGTAGTGCGTCCCCAAGTTCATATTGCGGACTTTAAAGTTAGGTTTTATTGAATCAGCCTTTACAGCTGGCAATTTCAGATTTTCAGATGATACGGGGAGAAAGTCGGAAGGTTTTTGTCCCCTGGAATAGCCTCTATCCACTATCTATTCAGCATTGTGAGTAATGATCTGAGGGGTCAGTGTAGGTGAAGGGGATATGACGAATCGCTGCTCACTTTATTGAATTACTATTCCTCACAGGGCTCGCTTGTTTTGTTTTTCAGTCTGACGTCAGATCCGAGCAAGGATATTCGACTCAAATACGTATGCACTTTTAATTAAAAATGTAACCTTAGCACTTTCTGCATTACCGCAATCAGTTTCCGTTCGGTGTTGCTTGGTGTGCGACCAAGGTGCGTGCGTGCGTACGTCCATGATTGTGTATGCAATTTAGGATTGGCCTAATTTTAGATTACCATATTTTCCGCACTTAAAGACGCACCTAAAAGCCTTCCATTTTCTTAAAAGCTCACAGTGCACCTTAAAATCCGATGCGCCTTGTGTATGGTCATTACGGTAATGTGTCAACCCCAAAATGGCTCCTTGCGAGAGACGTGCCTACAACGCAGAGTCTCATCAAACTTAAGGCTTTGCAGTTGAACACGGAAATAGAGCAGCGGCAAGAGAGTTCAACCATAACGAGTCAATGTTATAACTTGCTGTTGGTTAAGTGAACTGTGTCGCTGCTTTATTAAATAAATTTTACATCTGATCCTCGCTATATAAATCAGGGTGCAGTGTAGTGTAGTGTTCTGTTGGCATTTCCTTGAGCAAAGCTCCATCTAGTGGATGCATTGTAGATTGCATCTTATAACGCGGTGCGTCCAATAAATGAAAAAAAATTACCAGTGCGCCTTTTAGTGTGCAAAATACGGGAAATAATTTTACCGAATGTATAGTTTTTGCCGATTTGAATCAAATGCCGCGGTGCAGTGCCGTTTCTTCCCCATTGGAGTTTCCCGTCTGATGAACATTCTTTTGTGTCTCGCATCTACTAAGCAGTCCGTGGTCGACTCTTTGAAGAAAACAGACATGCAATGTCGAAATCTGCATCGACAGCCGGAAATTTGCCGACATCAAACGAAGTTCCGTGGCAAAGTTTTTGGAGGTGGAGATCGGCGGCCGCGCATCGGGGAGGTTCAGCTGCGCCGCGGATAAAGAGTTTAATGCTATTGACTCTTTTGAGGCTTTTACCAAGATGTTCTGAAATATTTAAATGATCACTGGGAGTTTCTCCCCCATCTGGAGCTGGGAATAAAAGGAGAGCGTGTCAGGAGGGAACTTTTTATGTCAGCCTTTTTTTTACAATGCCCGAATTAATGGGCACGAGATAATTAGAGACTTCTCAGCAATAACTTGTCCCTTAGCGTTCTGGTCTTGGGTGGCGCCGAGGCGGATCCGGACGGCCAAAAGTAATTCATGTGTCCAGTAACAGTGTGAAGCAGTAATTCAAAGAGGGATGCGCGGGGATTCATGTGGCTTAGAAGGCAATTGTCATTCCGGGGCTGAAATCCGCCCCGTAAAACCGATTTTATCAGCGTTCTATCACTTGAATGGACATACATTCAAATAAAAGTCGAAAGCAAACTTTCATATCAGCAGAAACATTACGCGCTGTCATGAATGTGCGACATATTCTCTGCTGGCAGGTGTGACTTTTCGGTGCCTGTCTCTCATGAGACGAGGTAGAAGTGTCCTATAATGGCTTTCTTTCAGTACAATATGTATTTTATTTGATAGAATGATTCAATTCCTGATCCGGGGACACCATCGGTCCCTTCTTTGCCATTCAAAAACATGCCTGCGGAAGGCGCATGACATTCTGAGCGATTATCGGCAAGTCCGCTGATGGCTGAGCAACTGGGAACCGTAAACATGCATTTTCTGTTGATTCACGTTTGAGCACATTCACTCACTTATATTGCTTGGTGTCCTCCTTCGGGTCGCAGGTACGGGCGTGATACGCCTTGGAACGGCAGTCAGTTCGACACACGGACAACCATTCGCATTTACTGAGCATGTATGAAGCGATCCTTGGTCAATCTCTTTGTCACCCCCTCGGTGGCGATGCCTCCCTTTGGGGTGTCTGCGCCAGTTGAGATAAGCAGCAAGTGTAGGACACAGGGGGAGGGTGTTCACAGAAGCTCGCTGATCTTATCTCCACTCTCCCCTTCTCTCCCGCTCCCATACCGAGCATCCCCTGCAGTTTGCCGCCACTTTCCCGCTCTGGTTTTTTCCCCCCCACCAGTCACCCCCTCGGTGGCGATGCCTCCCTTTGGGGTGTCTGCGCCAGTTGAGATAAGCAGCAAGTGTAGGACACAGGGGGAGGGTGTTCACAGAAGCTCGCTGATCTTATCTCCACTCTCCCCTTTCTCTCCCGCTCCCATACCGAGCATCCCCCGCAGTTTGCCGCCACTGTCCCGCTCTGGGTTTTTTTCCCCCCCTTTTTTTCGTTTTGCTTCTTTGCACTCTTTCTCCCCATTCCCGTTTTCACTCTCTGCTCTCTTCCTCTTTCCCTCGTAGACACACGCACACAACACGCATCCTCTCAGATCGCCTCTGCGCCGCAGTTGATTTGAATTTGAAGTGATGGGGAACCAAATTGGCAGCATTGACATCAGAAACAAACAGCGTCTCTCTTTCTCTCTCCTGGGCCAATATTGGTCTTAGTCAGATTTCGAAAAGCCCCCGCCAGCATCGGACTTGTGACAATGAGGATAAATTGAATGTTTGTTGACTGTCACTCTTTGTACAGTATATGTGAGACTCGATGAGCTGCTTTGCATTTCAGCACCTCAATGCGCATGGGAATAAAATGCAGTTGTGTCATTATGTATGTTTTACCTTCAAGTCTTTTGGATATGTGCCCCGTGCACAGATCTGTGATAAAGTTTTGTTTCTCACTGGCTTTGTTTGAATTACTTTGCCAATGTTCACGGAGAAAACTGAAAAGCAAAGTGTTAAAAAAAACACTTAAGACATCTCAGTTGATGTATTTTTACTTTCTAAAAGATTTTTTTAATTAACCTAATTGTATAGGTCACAGTTTTAATATCACAAAGCAGTAGTTGAACTGCAGTGCGTTGACATTTTTGGGACTGTTTAAAAAAAAACATTTAAGACATCTCAGTTGTTTATTTTTACTTTCTAAAAGATTTTTTTTAATTAACCTTATTGTATAGGTCACAGTTTTAATATCACAAAACAGTAGTTGAACTGCAGTGTGTCGACATTTTTGGGACAGCGTATACACTGTCATGACTTCCCTCCATTGACAACCCTCCCACATGCTCCAGTCGATCAGTTCTGTTGTATTGTCTCTTATTGTATTGTATTGTCTCTTGGATTTTTTTTTTCCAGATCTCACACAGTGCCCCCCCCCCCCCCCCCCCTTTCCCACGCGGCCCTGTTGGGGGCAGGAGCAGTTTGGGAGTTGTTCTTTTTCCCCTCTTCCTCTTCCTTGTTTTCCTTTTCTCATTTAAAGCGACTCCCTCGCTTGGTGTCACTGTCCTTTCATGTTTTTTTTTTTTTTTGGGGTGGGGGGTTGAAAACTGTACTGGTGACATGTGCATGAGAATAAATCCATTCCATATTCCATATCTGAACATAGTGAACATTAAGTTAGAATACATGCGAGTAAGTTAAGTGTCATCCGTGTGAAAAGGAGATTCATGCGTTTCCACGGGTACGGCACCTGCATGTTTGACTTAACACGACAGACCCAAAGAGGACAAGGAAGGAGCTGAGCTGTCAGAGGCCAGCTCCCATTTCGCCTAACGAGTGAGAGGCCTGTTAATTAAAAACACCAACAAGAGCAGCTGCCTTGTGCGTTATCATCAGTAAGACCTGAAGTTAAAAGACGAAGCCTCCCGAGGGGTGGCTGCGACTTCCACTTACACTATATGGAGTTGCCCATGACAACATGTTGCGTGCAACCAGGATGAGCGAGTCTGCTCAGTCCTTGACGGCCTAGAACAAAATCTTTCTTTTTTTAAGGATTTTTTTTGGTGTGTCTAGTTGAATCATGTCACCATCGCCTCCGGTGATGCCGCGTGTGGACATGTTTTATTCATTTGTCATCGCCATGAATCATTTCCCTAGATGTGGAGATTGACAGCCTGTCAGCCCTCTGATAGTAGCATGCTCCTCGCTGTCATGATGGGATGGCGAGGGAGAGGCTTCCACGTTCCCCACGGCTTCTTCTTCTGCCTCACCTCCCGCGTCTCCATCTTCATGTCAGCCCAGGTGCCAGCAAACCCGAGGATTGTGGGTCGTCTTGGAACAACATATGGAGTGAGAGTTGGACAAATGAAGAGTGGAAGAAAAGGGTGTGGGGGGGCGGTAGGGGGGGCTGTCAGGGAAAATGTCTATCTGTGTCACAGCAGCCAGAAGAGTGCGATGGGTGAATGGATAACTGGCAGCCGGCAAGCTCCGTCACATCTGACGTGTTTCTCGGGGCAGAGGAGCTCTCACGCGGCACATTGCGCAAATCTGCAAGCCAGCAGATATTTTGGCCTTCTTAATTTCTGCGTGCAGACTTGACGGCGCTCATGCGTATGAGAACGTCGCCTTTGTTCAGTTGCTGTTGTGTTGCGCTGCCGTCACGCACGGAATATTCCGCGTTCCTGATTGGAATAATGGCGACAGGCAGGGGCGCTCTGCGTTTCGGTTGTTTTTAGCTCTCGCTGAAGGTTGCTGGAGCACCCGCCTACGTCTGTCGCTTTCTCTTTGTCCCCGGCTCACGTTATATAATTACGTCTCTCTTTTGCTGTGTTTCAGGCTGTGCCTTCCTTACCTACTGTGCCAGGGAGTCAGCCCTGAAAGCCCAGAATGCATTGCACGAGCAGAAGACCCTTCCAGGGGTAAGTCCTACAGTACACGCGGAGCACAATGTCGCCCCGGAAGCAAAGAAAACGGACCACACATATCCAAGAGATGTTAGATTCGGGCCGGCACTTGTGTATTCGTTTTTTTTTTTTCCACATACAAATGCCTGACATTCATTTCAAATCAAAGGGGACTCACCATCTTTGCCACGCCTGTCACTTTGTGTTTATCACTGACTGTGCGGCAGACGCGAGCAGAGCCTCCCTTTCGCTTTCCGTCCTCTTGCTCTCCCTCTCTCGTCACTCTGACAATCACACACACACACATATAAACCCACGGGGAGAAACCGCACGCAGCATCACATCATAGGCCTACTATTTTTAGTTCCTTCCTCCAGTTTGTGTAAATGAGCGCGCTCCCGCGCGCGTGGGTTCGAAGCAGCCGCGTGTGGGCGAGCGTGCGAGGGGAAAAACAAGAGAGGGAGATGAGAAGCCGGCGGGTGCGTGGATGACGTCTATTTGTACATTAAAGCGCACGCTGTGCATCATGTGCATCGCCGATGCAGCACGTCTCCTCGACAGATGTTCATGGGCTGCAGATGTTCGCAGTCATGTACGACGCGCACCAACGCCGTCTCGTGTGAATGTTGAGCTGTCGCCGGTGCGTGTGACAGTAGAAGGGATTTTTGACACTGTCAAGGGAGGAGGGTGTTCATTTCAATGTGTGAGTGGGGACGGGGGTGCGAGGGGGGGGGGATAATATGCAGTATATCGTATTTTACTGTAGCATTGCACTGATTTTAAGATGCACAGTTTGATCGGAGTTTTGCATTCATCGCTGCAATTCATTTCTGCCATGTACAGTATGTGAATGCGGACTCGCGCGCGTGCATCTTTCTACGTACACATGCAAGTCAAGTTCATATGCCGGCGTGCAAACTTGCACACGTGCGTGTCAGGAAGTTTTGATGTGTCTCTGTCAGGCCCGGCTTGCTTTGCTGCGCTCGTTTTTTAATGACGCCTCTAGGGAAGCTGACAGTCGCCGTGTTGAGCGCATAGCCTTTGATGTGAGTGATTATGACATCACAGACGTGCAGCGAGAAGAGCGGAGGAGTGGGGCTCCGTGCTTTCTTTTTTTTTTTTTTTTCCCCCACTTCCCAGTGGCGGATTTTTCCGAAAGAAACAGAGAGGGAGAGACCGACATATACAGAGAGAGATTAAATATTTGGTCGAAACCAGAAGTTTTGTTTTTTTTGTTCACAAATCTGCTGTGACTGACGTTTTGTCATGCGTGCTACATAGCATATAAATGTTAGCGTAGATATACCTGTACGGTCATTTGCAATCAACTTGGCTCCAGAGGCAAATGCTAATGAGCAACGCTTTTGCCAGGAAAGGGTCACTCTCAATTTTGCAATTGATCGAGGACGAGCTTAAAATAAACAAGCGTATACCTTAAGAGAGGCCTGCTGCAGATCATCCAAGAGAAATGGAAGCAGGAAGAAGCTGAGTTTGCTGAAGACTTCAGGACCATTGGTTAAAAGGATCTACTGTTCATTAAACCTGTCAGTGGCACGGTGGATGACTGGCTAGCACGTTGTTTGGGTTTTTTTGTGGCATAATCCCCCCAAGCAAAATAATAAAAATTCTCATCGCCAAAAACCAAAAACATTCCCTCCTTGGTGAAAGTAATGAATTAGTCAAAAGCATTTAGCCAAAGAAGGGCAGAAGGAAATTTGATGGTGCTCACTCTTCCCTATTTTTCTTTTTTTACCCACCTTGTTTGTTTTCTCCGTCCCTCCAGTTTCCATCAATCCCTCCTCTCTCAAGCCAACACAACCCAAATCCTGCAAATGAAATCCCTTTCCACCCCCTAAAAGCTTCTTTCCCCTTCACTTCGCGTCCTGATGCGCTTTTTATCATCAAAGTTGCTTTCCCAACCTTTATATTTAAAAAGTTTTTCTGGGAGCCTTCTTTCTTTGGCTGCCAGGTGAGCTGGGAGTAAAGGGGATTAGACTACCTAGTGGAAATGGCCTGTAAGCATGGCTGTAGGCTGCTGCCGTAGCGCAGCACAAAGTACTGAAGGCTCCGCGTGCGAGTGTGTGTGCGTGCGCGCGCATGCGGTCGTTCATGCATGCACGCGTGGTGCCAGTTGAGACCGAAGGTAAATAAGCAACACAGAGTCAGTCACGGACTCAAGTTTGAAATCCCCTTCATCCATTTTCTCTCGTGTTTGTCCTCATTAGGGTCACCAGTGAGCTGAAGCCTTTCCCTGCTGACTTTAGGGCGGGAGGCGGGGCTCACCCCAAACTGCTTTTCAACCAAAATCTCAAGACGACGCGTGCACAAGCGTTCACCATTAGTCCATCTCGTTCCCAAGTTTGAATCCCATTCCGTTTGAATTTCAATGACGCTACTCGAAAGAACACATCGGCACAACTGTAATGGGGCGTCGGTTATTCTGGCAGGGAGATCTTTTTGCATCGTTGACCCATACAGACACGCAACCGTGTCACTTCATCAACATGGAATCTTTCATTTCGAGAACAGCAGAGCAAGCGTCGGTCTTGCCCCAATCATTTCACATTCAATTGTACTGCTAGATGTATGCTGATTTAAAAAGTCAATCCGATGCTCTGAAAGTGATTGACTTGCTTTTTAATTTCCCTGGAGATGCACAGGATAGATATGGTTCAGCACATACATTTACAACAAACAAGCATGCGGTGTATGGAAAGAAGAAAAAAAAAACAACAATACATAGCACTCAAAATCTTCTCATCCAGGCTCTGTGTAAAAGTGGGTTTAGCAAATTAACAAACGGGTCCACATGTTCAATCTGCGTGTTGCCATATTTGTGATCCCCTGATCCGGTTCCACAATTGGCCAACAGCGTTAAAACATGGATGATTATTATTGATTGATGGAGGCTTGCACGTGTGTAGGTCTGCATGTCGATGTGGGTCACTCACACGCACACACCGTGCGCCGTGCTATGGCAATCAAGATGATATTTTTCATTCTCAACGAATTTATGAGGCCACAACCACCCAATGCAGGGTTTAGGCCTCAAATTAACAGCACCAGAATTAACGTTCTCTCTTTCTGTAATGGCTAGCATGTTTCGGAGTGCCTTAAGTGCCTTAATCAAAACAATGTATTTTTTGCATTCCATGAATTTTCAAATCTTCAGTTTTACAAAAACCTTGTTGGAGGGGCAGGGAGGGGGGTGGCTTATCAACAGTACCGGTCTATAGTATAGTGTTGACATGAAGGAAGACAGAAATGAATTGTTAGGACGCTGTTTGCTCAATGAGCTCTAATTTGGATACAAAGGGCGAAGTCAGTTTAAAATTCTTCACTCCTGTTCAAAATGGTCAAACGTTGATTCTGGAAGGGTATCCATGTTTTGCATTCATTAGCAGAAACGCTCGTGAATCCGGCATTGACTCAAACACATTTGGGGAACTACTTTGGCTTCTTTCCACATTCCAAAGTTCACTTCATTAAAAATATGCGAACGTGAGTAGGATTGGCTCTTTGTCTAGATGTGCACTGCCACACCCCCGGCTCATTTCTGGGACAGGCTCCATCTTTCCAACAGTCCTAATAAGGATAAGTCGGAAATGGATGGAAGGATGGATAATAACACCCGTACCACAATCCCGCACATGTTACACAAAGAGGTGCGTGTGCTTGTGCTGCAACAAATACTTTGTGCATGGACACAATGCGGACCGCCGTTGCCAACATGACATGCACTCACTCACCCCCGCAAAGACTTCTCTTGTAACGGTAATACAAATCTCTTCACAAACACTTTCATTGAACAACCTGATACTCATGGAAAGAGAGTGCGGGGGGAGAGAAAGAGAGAGAGAGAGAGAGAGAGATTAATACACCGTCGATGGACTCATATTGTAACAGTGAGAAGAAAATATGGAACACTCTGAATCAATGCGTCATTTCAGAACACATACACACCCACATGCAATCAACGCGCGCCCGTAGAGCACATACACATGCCCGCTTCCAGCCCGGAGGCAAACAAATACCAACAAAAAAAGATGGGAAGGCAAATGAATAGCAGGCAAGAGGAAAAGGTTGATGAAGCCGAGTAGGAAGGAGCGGGAAGAGAGATGTTGGTGACGTGCCTCTGTAACCACTGATTGGTTTCTTCTTCCTCCGCCACAACACCTCCAACGGCACCACCCGAAGCAGCCTCTCTCCCAGAATGCCAGGGAAAGAAATCTATGACATTGATTGGCTCCTGTGACCCAGTTTCATGGCAACGTTGTCTCGATAAGTCCCCCCGCCCACTTTGGTCAATACCTGCCGGGCTCCCTGGGTGAAGTGGGCGAACTGAGTGGAGTTTTGGTGGTAACTGGAATGCAATTTTGCCCCAACCCCAACCAAGTGTGCAAAAATGACACCCTCCCTATCATTAATGTAAATTGGGGGCGCAGTGTGCAAGGGGTCATGGCGGCACGTCCACATGAAAAATGCCACAGGCCTCAAGAGCTAAATCATCCCCTCCCTCTCTCCCCGTCATCGCCGCATCAACTATTCGAATCGCCCTTCTCCGAAAGAAAACCATTTGCCTCACGCAAACGCTCCGATTAATGAAACTGCTCTTTGACAGAATGTGGTAGGAGTGATGCGAGAAAAGCGCCCAGCCAAAAACACAACACCGCCTTTTTGGCATCCATAAGGATGTGCGCTTTCTTAAGAACACACATCTTTATACAGCCAAAGACCTGATGGGCAATTTATTAGCAGTCAACAGTTAAGAGCGCTGCCAAGAGGGAATAAATAAACAATAGCCATGGTCCAAATAAAATCTGCGTTTTAAGAGGCGCACTATGCAGCGATGCGTTTCAGTGCTCCCATAAACTACAACGGAAGAGGAATTTCTCTTGCAAAGGCTAAAAAAAAAAAGGAAATCTATGAATTTTGCCATTTGGAAACCTTTCACTGTTTCAGGGAGTCTGTGCAAATTCACAGGAATTGAACTGGACAGTTCATCGAGAAGGAGGGTGCCCAACTCCGGTCCTGGAGCACCTGATCATTTGAATCAATCTGTGCAAATTCACAGGAATTGAACTGGACAGTTCGTCGAGAAGGAGGGTGCCCAACTCCTGGAGCACCTGATCATCTGAATCAGGTGTGTGAAAACGGAGACATCGAAAAACAGGCTGGATAGGGGCTCTCGAGGACCGGACTCAGGCACCCCTGCTCGAAAATAATGTTTCTGAATTTTATGCGAGCAGTGTTCTGATATATATATCATAGCATCCCCATTTCTTTGCGTTCACATCAAAAAGTTGAATTCAGGCAACCGGATTTGTTTGCCTGTTGAACGCGTTCCACCTTTGATCCCCAGAAAACTCGCTCAGTGGAGATAAAATGAGGTTTGCAAACCTTATTGGTGAAGTACAGTGAGTACAGTGAGTGTTTTTTCCAAGCAAGACTGTAAAAATAGAGACATTTGTGTGTTTTAAGTGGTCGAGTTAATGCTGCCTGAGTGGAGCTTCTTGCTAATGATTTTTAGACGCTGC